TTTCAGCTGGAGTCTCCTTCCCCCTGGGATGGATTTCCCCATAAAATAAATGTCTTGTCTGAATTAATCTGATTTTTAAAAGGAGAAAGTCATCATATTGTAAAGACAGATCATAAAAAGACGCGTCAGTCTGTCAGGAAGACTGGTTAATATGAATATTTCTTTAGCAGAGACAGTGCACCCGAGGCAGCCTTTCTGGACCAGCCCTGGGCCTGGAAGGGGCCTTTCATTTGCATACTTAGAGCATCTAGGGCTGGCAGCTTTGCATTCTGAATACGGGCACTGTAGCAGCGACACTCTGCAGAAGAGGCCGGGAGAGGCCCCCCAGCTGGAGGGATGGCTCCCTCAGTCCCAGCCATGCCCCAAACCCTTCCATTCGAGAACTAATCAATATGAGGGATCTTTAGAAGACACCTCAGACAACCTCTCCATTTTGTTTCATTCTTTAAAAAATGACATAGGCCATCACATAAGTATGTAGATAAAAAACGAGTAGTATATGAAGTACATGGTATAAAAATTCTATGCTGTGAAACATTACACGGGTAACACATAAACACACGAAACAGAACAGAGAAAACCACAAAAGTGCGTTTGCCTTTTGCACAGTTGACCACTGTGGACTGTTTGGTGTGCATCTTTCTCAACGTCTTCCGATACATTTCTATCTGTCTCCTGCATGATACACATACACTGTTTGGTTTTTGTTAGATGGAATAGAAACATCAAAACTTGGTACTGGAATTTTTTTTTAATTAACATTCTACTTTGGGTTTCTTTTTAAAAATAAAGCTATAAAACAAATACATGTTTATCACAGAAACTTCAAAATCGATAGAGGGGTAGAAAATGCAAAGTAAGAAAGAACGCTAAAACCCCAAAAAGAAAATCTTTTCCTTCCTTTCTCTTCATTCCCACTCCCCAGAGCAGATAAAATATATTTTTGTGTATCTTTTTGGAAACGACTATGCACGTACAGGCATTTAAACACTCACATCCTCCATCTGTTCATTGAGGAAGTGAGAGCTCGGAGAGGTCACAGGGCAGATCCAAGGTCACACAGCTGACTGGGGCAGAAGCAAATGCAGAGCCGGGCGCCCCAACTTCAGAGGGCAAAGGCCTTTCCGCGGCACATTTCCAGGGAGTTTGCCCAGAGCCAGTCTCAGCTGGTGTGGCTAATCCTAACCTCCACCTCGTCTGCCAGGCGGTGACACTTCTCCATACCGCCCACGTCCCCCCGCCCCGTTCCCCCAACACTGCTGCCTCGCAGTGTGTTAACGGAATGCACTTGTGCGGCTTGCTCGGGGCGGGGGCCTGACGGTTTGTTTCACTAACACTGCTGTCTCTGCCAGAGCTGTCGTCACGGCAGAACAGCGTCGTGGAGCCTCCTGGCAAAGCAATTCGTTCAGTGAGCTTGTGCCTGCGCTTTTGTTCCCCAGATTACAAGTGACAGTTACAGGCAGAAGACCCTTCCCGAGGATGATTCCATTTAAGTAATCCCTTGCCCTGGTGGGAGCTGGTATCCAGTTAGGGCTCTTGCCCCTCCCTCTACAGGAGGCTATGGGGCCACAGGCCTGCCCCCCAGGAGCTCACAGCTTGATGGAGGAGGGCAGCACACACCCTGATACACCCACTGCTGATCTGCAGGTCGCCTGTGTTCCCTCTCTGTTCTGTGTGTGTGTGTGTCGACCTTGGCCATCTTGGCCCCAGATGTGCCTACAGCATTGCCAACATCTGGGTGGAAGGAGAAAAGTCAGCCAGCCATCGGGATGTATTTGTTTCTGGTTGACGGCAGGATGGCCCCCATCTGGGCATCTAGGAAACATCTAGACGGACAGCCCGAGTAATCTGTATACCCACATATTTGATCCTGCCACCTATGACAATGTGAGGTGGCAGAGCCTGGACCAACGAACCCCATCCCTCCAGCCAAGCCAGGCCTGTTCTGACCTTGCAGACAGAAAAGAGGGAAGCCCAGAACCCGCACACTGGTACAGGGATGGGAGGGGTGTGTGTGTGTGTGTGTGTGTGTGTGTGTGTGTGTGTGTGTGTGTGTGTGTGTGTGTGTGTGGGCGGGGGGTTGGGAGGGGAGGGTTGTGCATGCATTTATGTGTTGCGGTAAGGGGCTGGCAGCTAGAGAAACTCTGATCTAGAAAATGAAGTCTCTGGACTTCACGGTTCTGCTCGAGTCTGGGGCTGCAGGTGTGGGCCAGGGCCGGGAGCTTTGGGGTGGGGCACGGTCTTCCCTGGCTCTTCCTGATTCACTACCATTCAGCAACCAGTGTCCCTCCCAGCAAAACAAAACCTCCCGAGATCGCTGGTTCCGCAGTGCCCTCCAGTGGGCAAGCAGAATATGTCTGGAGAGAACGCCTTCGCCACACGTGGTCACAAGTCACACGTGTGGACCCTTCAGGCATTTTAGAATCGAGGTTCAAGTTCCTCCACCTGCTTCCATGCCCTTTGGAAGATAAGGTTCTAAATGAACAGTTGGCTGTTTGTATAGAGGAGTGGGAGACCGGTAGAAGTCTGTAAAGAGAGAGCAAGGGACTGAGGACTGGGGCACCAGTGTTTTAGGGCATTGTGGACAGAGACTGGATGAAATGTAAAACAATGGTGACGTGTATGTGTGTGTGTGTGTGTGTGTGTGTGTGAAGTCCTGTGCTAAACAGACTCTGCCCTGCCAACTCCCCCCGTGACTTTGCTATATCCTCTTTAGATACCCCAGCGCATCAGGACCTCCTAGCTTACCTCTCTCTACCCTCCGTAGAGTGACAGTTGTTTCTTGTTTTTGTTTTTTTTTGCGGTACGCGGGCCTCTCACTGCTGTGGCCTCTCCCGTTGCGGAGCACAGGCTCCGGACGCGCAGGCTCAGCGGCCATGGCTCACGGGCCCAGCCGCTCCGCGGCATGTGGAATCTTCCCGGACTGGGGCACGAACCCGTGTCCGCTGCATCGGCAGGCGGACTCTCAACCACTGCGCCACCAGGGAAGCCCGACAGTTGTTTTTTGTTCTTGTTCTTGTTCTTGTTTTTGTTTTTGCTTTTCCAAGCCTTCCCAAGTCTGATTACGAGGGGAAAACACAGACTCAGCAGGAGGAAATGGGTTCCAAGAGTGTTGCCAGTTAAGCTGGTAACAACTTCTCTTGGTCTGAGTTTCTCCACGTGAGTTGGGCGCCTATCCCAGGCTTGTTGGAAATTAAAGACGATCATGCACAAGTGCCCCAACACGAGGCCTCCCAGATATGCTGGCTCCCAGCCCCAGGAGAGGCTCCTTGAGCCCAGTCCCCCGTCTTCCTGCCCTCCATACGGCACGTGGTTGCCTCCTTCACCACAGAGCTGACGGCTGGGTCCCGCTCTTCCTCTTGTATTCTTCCTCCAGCTCCTCCCACATCTTGAATATGATGTCCTGTGTCCCGTCTTTCCTCTGTCTCAGTCCTCACTCTGCGTTGCACCCTCTGCCCCAAGATGCACATCAACGTCCTCATCCACCATCCCCTTTTCTTGCTGCTTCTTTTTGAAAAGAAATTCCCACCGACTTTGTTTTCATTGTCATCCGCAAGATGACTCCAAGGGTCCTCTCTGCTCGTCCTCTGCACTCCCCTCACTGGCTGCATCCAGCCACCCTCCCCCTTTGATGCCCAGCCCTTTATAACGGGTGTCACCATCATGGTTGTCACCAGCTTCTTTACCTGTTCTACGCCAAGTACTTCCTACCCACAGAAAAGAAAGGTACAATCGACAATCCCATTGAAAAGTGCCTGATTCCAACCCGCTGAAGGCAGCTTTGGGGAGGAGAGTTTAGGCTGCAAGGCCTAAACCAGCTGCAAGGCAGAGGATGCCCGGGAACAGTGGCGTCACCAGGGGCTTGCAGTGTGGGGCAGAGAGAAGATGCCCAGCTCGGATCCGACAGGTGAGGCTAGCCCTCCTGCGCCTGCCTGCCACCTAGGACCCCTCCTCCCCCAAGAGTCTCCTAGGGGGGCTTTTGTATTTTCTGTCCTTGCCATCCACTCCTACCCGGACAGTGACAGATGCAGACAGAGGCTGGAACACAGACCAGAGGGAGCTAGGGTGCAGAGAGAAGATGCAGAGACTCAGATGCCTGGAGCAATAAAGAGCCACCCAGGGACGGAGGATGAACGTCCTGGGCACGAATGGTGGTATATCATCTCACCCTCAGCAACTGTGATCAGGGAGGACGGGGCACCGGGCCCATACTCCAGATGAAGAAACAGGCTCAGAGGGGTTGCCAGGGCCACGTCACTGGGGCATGGCTGAACTGAGCGTCAAGTCACAACCTGCTAGATTCCTGGGCACAAGGCCTTTCTGTGACCACCATGGAGAGACACACACAGAGACGCTGTCTCCATTACTGCTTCTCTAATGACTCAGTGTGTGCAGAGAAGGGAAAACCGTCATGCAGAGCAAGGGAGGGACACACACAGTGGGGAGACACAGGGAGAAAGGCAGACAGAGATAAATAGGGAGAAAAGGGACACAGATGAATAGGGAGACGGGAAGACAACGACATAAGGAGAAGGGAAAAGTAGCTGCTTCTCTCTCCCTATGGGAATGGATTTGGGATAAAATACACATTCTGCGTCTCACCCCCTGATCTTCAGAATCGGAATTTCTGGGAGTGGGACCCAGGAATCTACATTTAAAGAAAGCTCCTCGGAGTAGCAAAGTGTGCTTTGAAATGCATCAGATAAATGGGATAGATTTGTGGATGGCTAGAGGGAGGGATAGATGGAAAATTCCCAGTAAAGCAAATACAGCAAAATGTTAACCGAGGAATCTAGAAAGTGGGTAACACTGTCCACTGCACAATTGTTTTAACTTTCTGTATGTTTGAAAACTTTCATAATAACATGCTGAGTGTGTGGAAGTTCCTGAATGATCCTGATGATTAGGCAGGTCTGGGACCACTGTAGTAGGAGGGAAGGCATCCTCAGAGGACTTCTAGAGAAGCTGTTGCCCTGAGAAGGCCCCCTGCACTCCCCAGCCATGTCATCTCCATCCCCCGTCCCCAGTCTGACCAGTCCCACAGCAATCCCAGAACTCACAGCAGCACCGCACAAGGCCCTGCCCTTCTCCCTGGGCTCTGAAGGAAGTCCATCGGTCCCCTAGGGCCTCCTGTTCTGCACGGTGAGCAGGATTTTCTGGGTCGTCTGAGGCTGGTCTCTGCAGGGCCCTGGTAGCAATCCGATCCGGCTGGCGGGCAGTGCGGGTTTGGGCAGAGCTTGGAGAGGCAGGGCTAGAAGTTCCCTTGGAAAAACTTGAAGCCGAACTGCTTACAATGGTCCTTGAGCACCTTGGCCAGAGCTGGGAAGCCACAGAAGAAGACCTGCACCTTGCCCTTCTTCTCAGTGGCTAACTTCTGGAACACCTGGACTGCACAGGGCTTGGGGAGAGCAGAGGGAGAAGAGGGGGGACCGTGGACCCGCCCAGTGACACACCCAGTGGAGCCGAAGACGTAAGGGGCCAGGATGGCTGTCCTCCCCATGAGGAGCCCCAGGGCACAGCTGCTTGGCTTCAGCCATTAGTTTAGGAGCCGTTTGCTCAGTGAGTAACCTGACTCCGACCCCAGGGAGGGGCTGGACCAGAAAGAAATAAGATCCAGGCCCTCGGTTCAAGGAGCTGCATCCATGGGGGAGATGTGCACTAAACCAGCTGCAGTGCTGTAGCCGATGGCAGAGCCCAGAGGGTACACTGACCTCCAAAGCCCCAACCTAGCCCACGGGCCTCCATCAAAATGCCGCTTTCCTGAAGTCAGGCTTTCTCCCCCGGCGAGGACCCTTTTCCACCCCAAGTTCTGCTTAAGAAGTGCCTTTGCCTAAAGTTCTCTTGGTGCTGAAGCCCCGCCGGCATCCCGTTCCCCCCAGGCTCTCACTATCTAAACATGGATCATCTATAGCAGTTTGAAAAGCAATACCTTCTAGTCACTTCAGGCAAACTCTGCACCCCAACTGGTAAGTGCTCAGGGAGGAAAAATAATAATAAAACCAATCTGAGGAACAAAGTAGAAAGACTGCAAACTATTCTGTGGCTCTGGGCCTCAGTTTCTCTGTTTGTACCAGGAAGGGATAAGCCGATGCCTCCCCGGGACTCTGTCCACTGGGGTCTTCAGACTCTGGTTTGCAGGGGGTCAGGGCTGGGAGAGGCCTTGGAGGTTATATGGTTATAACCTCCTCTGTGATCAGATGGGGAAACGGAGGCTAGGGGTAGAACAAACGGTGCTAGTGATGGAGCCAGGATGTAGGTCCCCTGCCTCCCGTTCCAGCCCTGAGATCCTGGCTGGACTCGGATGCTGGCCTCAACCTTTGCCCCTGCTTGCTTGGCCCTAATCTCCCCAGTCACTGCCTCAGACTCTCAGACCCACTAGTCCCTGCAGGCTTCAGGGCTCCAGGTGGCCTTTACCTCGTTCCAATCTGGCCGCCCAGGCTGGCTGCGAGTCTGGAGGCCCGTGATGGAATCCTTCTTCTCCTTCTTGGCCTGGAGATCGAGGGCCATCTGCAAACCAATGGCCTTCATGTCATTCTTGCCCAGCACGGAGGTCATATACATGCGCAGCTCCAGGAAACGGCCTACGTGGGGGAGGAGAGGGCAGGATTGAGGGGCCAGCACCCATGATGGGGACAGGGCAGGATGCCAGCCACCTTGTCCTGGGGCTTGAAGGAGGACTCACACTGTCGGCCAACCATATTCACCCAGTACCTCCATTTGACCAGTGCTGTAGAGAGGAAAGATGGCTCTCTTGAGCTGCTCGAGCACAGATGAGTTATCATATAGCCATTGTCTAATGTAAGTCTCACAACCACCCCAGGAGCTGGACCTTATATTTACAGAAGGTAAATGAATCCCAGGGCAGCGTGGCTGTCCTTGGTCTCTGAACTCATGCCCTTCTGTGCCTCATGGTGTCTGCTCAGCCTAGCTGGGGACACAAGCTATGCACACATGGAAAGACCGCTGAGACCAGAGAGTCAAGGGTTGAGTGAGTGGATCAGATGGCAAATGCTACTGATATACAGGGCAGGCTGAAGCACACGCAGCCGCTTCCTGGGACGGTGGGGACTGGGCGAGGTCTTGGAAGAGGGCTGAGACTCAAAGGGGAGGTGAAGGAAGCACCCTAAGAAGGGAGTAGCATGAGACAAAGGTGGGAGGCTGGAGTTTGTGGGGCATGATGTGACTGCCCGGCTGGAGCAGAGCATCCTTGAATGGGTGCAACAGCGGGTAGGACTGGATACACAGTGAGGCCAGAATGTGAAGAATCTGGAATGCCCAGCTAGGGAATGGGGGCAGGGAGAGGGTACTGGAGCAGGGCATGATGAGATGAAAAGAGCATTTCAGGGAGGGGAGTCAGAGGACTGAAGGGACAGGGCAGAGACTGGCATCTAGGAGACCCATTAGGCCTGAGCGTCCACAGCTCTGTGTCTGCAATGGGACAGGTTTGTGAGATACTGATCCCACCAGCTCTAGGGCAATCGGTACATCCAGGTGGGCACCTCTGTGCTCAGGCAGTTTCCTCCATTCTCCCAGAGGTGGCAAACAAATGTTGTCATTTTCCCAGTGTGCCATGATGGGGAGAAGACTGGCCAGGGCTGCCCCACACCCCCGCCACAATGCAGGCCAGAAACGGCGGGGCCTGATCTACCACGTTGGATTCATGAGCTGACAATCCTTTATCCTTAAAGGATTCTCTCTCCCTAAAGGATTCAGGCCAGCCCAGCTTGTTCTCTATTGTTTCATACTCCACGATTAGCCCACTTTTCCTTTGGCTCAAGATCTCAGCCATTGTTAAAATGCAAATGGCCCTAGGAGGGACACCACATTTCATTTCACACATCACTGAACTTGAGTAGTGTGGTGGTGCAGGAGGGAAGAAGACGTACCGTAAGGGATGCCCACCTGAGACAGCCCTGGCCCTTCTTCCTCAGAGTCACTGCCCCCCCATTCCCCCACACAGGGGTAAGAAAGGAGAGAATGAGACATCAGAGCGGGAGGGAGAAGGAGGCGCTGTGGAGGTTTTCGCTCTCTCCAAGACAGCGTGTTCCAGACAGTCCTCCCATTTCTGGGACACTCTCTTAAGGAAATCATCCAAAGGAAGGGGAAAACAAAACTATGTGCTCATGCATATTAATTGCAGCTTTATTTATGATAGCGGAGAATTAGGAATAAACAAAATGTCCAGTAGTAGGGGCATGGTTAAATAATTTACGGCAAACCACCGTATCCTTCATTACATAGCCATTAAATACTACTAGTACTGGTACTACTCTTACTACTAAATTTATGGAGCAATTCCTACTACTACTATTACTACTTCTGCTACTACTATTAAATTTATTGAGCAGTTACTACTACTACCATTACTACCACCTCTACTACTATTAGTACGACTTCTACTACTGGTGAATTGACTGAGCAGTTATTAAACTCCAGCCCTTATTCTAAGTGCTGTACAGATGATCTCTCACCCAATCCTCACAACAATCCCATGAGGTAGGTACTTAGTAGTATCCATATTTTTCAGATGAGGAGATAGAGGCAAAGCAATGTGCCCAAGGTTCTATAGCTATTATGGGATAGAGTAAAAGACTCAACTCAAACAGCACAATTGAAGCTTAAGCTATAGAAATTAAAAATTATAAACCACAAATTCTTTGACTCAGCCCTCGGTATATGATTAAAGTTGAAATCAGAGGCCGTGTGCTTCAGCTGCAATGAGAAACCTTGGAAGAAATTTGAGGTAACAAAGTTGTTGACTCAAGTGGCTTTGAGAATGCAAAGCAGTGGGTTAGCTGTTACCCTTTGCTTACACAGATTAGGAAGAAGCAAACAGCAAATATTTATATACCAGTAACTAGAAAACTTTAATTAAATCTAAACTTCTCCCTTAGGCTGTCATCATAAAAGCAAGTTTCTTATGAATTAATATACTTAAAAGCATTTAGAACAAAGTCAATGCTATATAAATATTTGCTTTAATTGTTATTTACAAGAAAGGGCAAGAAGCTTTACTACAATATTCTAGGGTTTATTTGTTCTCTTCCAAAGACTGTTGACTGGTGCCTTAAGGCTTTGGATGTTTCTTACAGTAAACTATATGTGTTTGAATGTTTTTTGTAGAAAACTGTGTCTGATTACTTGAACTTATAAACTATGTTTAGCATAGGAATTTGAATTTATTCATGGCAACCTTGTGATAATTAACCAGCCAAATAAGATCTAGTTCCAGTGGACTCAACACTGTAAAAAAACTCACCAATTCTCTTGAAGTTAGAAACATATCTAGAGATATTCCTCCTTATCTAAGATCTTCTGTAAGTAAAACATAACAAAACAAAATAATGACTAACAGATTAACTTTAAACATAGTACAAAACCTCAGTATTCCACAAAGATGTCCCATGAGGACTATTAAATAACCCAGAGAAACATGTTATCATGCAATGCTTAGTAAAAAATGTAGGATACAACACTTGCTGGGCGGGGAGGGGAGACTGCAGGGACTGGGGAGAGGACATTTAAACATTCCAATTTAATGAACGCATAAAAGAAGGGACCAAAAGAATTCGTACAAATTCGTACAAATCAGCAAAAGAATTCGTACATGCCAAGCTGTATAATTTTTATCTTAGACCATTTTCTAAACTTTTTGATTGCTACCTCATCAGGAAACATATTGAGCACACACCCCCATAACACCCCCAAACATAAATATATGTTTGTTCACATGTTCATTTCTACTTACAGTTTACGTCTATTAAAAATTTTATGCTTGAGTAAAAGGAATCATATTACTCTCTCACCTTGAACAACTAGAAAAATAAGCAAGATATATAAAACAATGGTTTCCAGACATTGGTCAACAGGTCATGTAGGACTGTCATTACTGAGGGAGGAAACACTGAAGTGAGCCTTACAATTACCTGGTGTTGGCCTCACTGAATTGAGGAGACAGAAATTGGAGATCAGGGAGCCAGGACAGCTAGAATGTGCCAGGCACAAAACTAGAATAAGGGCAACTGCAGAGAGGAAGAGAGACCGAAGGAAGAAGAGAAAGAGGAAGGGAGGATGAGGGCTCACTAGCTCTGGAAATCTGCATAAAGTTCCCCCTCAGTCTTTGGCTCAGTGTTAATCTGTACACTTGTGAAAGAAAATTACCAGAAAACATGAGGCTTCACAGTACCTGGAGCTCAAACAGAGCTGGCAATAGTTTGTCTTCCACCATCAAGAGTGCAGAGACCTTCTAATATATAAGGCAGTAGGATGAGTCCTCAGAGGTGCAGCACCTTAGCCCTGAGGCTGAATTAGCCCCACAATAAAGCCTGCTCTGGACTCTCCCTAACAAAAGTTAAAAGCAAGTCTTGAAAGTATCCAAACCATCCTAAACAATGTCACTGTGCACCAGAGCAAAGTACAGTGCTATTTAAAGAAGTACCACAAAATCCAGAACACAACATGCAATTCACAGTACCTGCCATCCAGTAAACAATTACCAAGCATGTAAAGAAACAGGAACATATGATTCATAACTAGGAGAAAATTCGTCATTAGAAACAGACCCAGAAATGACAGAGATGATGGACTTAGACAAAGATGTTAGAGCAAATATTATAAATGTCCTTGAGAATGTAAAAACAAAACAAAGCAGCTACGATGAGAAGAGGAATGGAAGACATAAAAGATACCAAAATGGAACTTCTAGAGAAGAACAACACAATAAGAGAAATGAAAAATACAATGGATAGGATTAATAGCTATTCTAGGTGCTTTGGTTTTTCCCTATAAATTTTAGAATAAGCTCCTTGATATCTATTTTTCAAAACCTGCTGGGACATTTATTAGGATGGGAAGGATAGATAAGTTGCTGCAGAAGAAAAGATGAGTGAACTTGAAGACATAGCAATAGAAACTATCTGATATGAGGCACAGATTGAGAGGAAAAAACAACAACAACCATACTCACAATAACCTGTGAGATATCAAACAGTCTAAGATCTGTGTAATTGAAGTGACAGGAAGGAGAAGGGGAGACAGGAAAAAAACATGTAAAGAAAGAATGGCTGAAATTTATCCAAATTTGATGGAAAATATAAGCCCAGATGCCCAAGAAGTTCAATGAACTTCAAGTACAAGAAATATAAAAAAACTGTTTCTCAGAAATGTTTTGTAGTTTTTAGTATACAGATCTTGCCCATATTTTGCTAAATTTATCCTTAAGTATTTCATGGTTCTTAAAATTCTATTTAAAGATTTTCAAATACTAATTATTTGTTGTTTGTAAATAGAAATAGAATTGACTTTTGCATATTCACCTTATAACCTGGACCTTGTTGAACTCACTATGAGACTGATCTAAATAAAGAGCTAAAACTATAAAACTTCTGGGAGAAAACCTAAGAGTAAATACTCATGACTTTGAGTGAGGTAAAGGTTTTAGTTAGGACACAAAAAGCATGAAGAATAAGGGAAAGAAATCTGATAAATGGGACATCATTAAAATTTCAAAATTTTGTTCTTCAGAAGACAGTTTAAGTAAATGAAAAGACAAACCACAGACTGGGAGAATATATTTATAAAATGTACACCTGGTAATGGACCTGTTTCCATAATATATGAAGAACTCTTACAATTTAATAAAAAGAAGACAAATATCTGGATTTAAAGAGCAGACAAAATATTTGAACAGACACTTTACAAAGAAGGCATACAAACAGCAAATAAGACCATAAAAATATCTTCAGCATCATAATTAATTAGGGAACTGCAATTTAAGAGCATATTGAGATATCCCTATACACCACTAGAATGGTTAAAATTAAAAAGACTGCCAACATCAAGTGTTGATGACTTGGTGCTTTGTGACCACCTAGAGGGGTGGGATAGGGAGGATGGGAGGGAGGCTCAAGAGGGAGGGAATATGGGGATATATGTATATGTATAGCTGATTCACTTTGTTGTATAGCAGAAACTAATACAACATTGTAAAGCAATTATACTCCAATAAAGATGTAAAGAAAAAAATGTTGATGAGGTTGTGGAGCAACTGGAACTCCACTGCTGATGGAAATACAAAGTGGTACAGTCATTCGGGAAAAATAATTTGACAGTTTATAAAACTTAGCACATACCATACTACCCAGCAATCCCAATTCTAAGTATTTACCCAAGAGAAGAGGAAACATATGCCCACACAGAGACTTTCATAGTCAAAAATGGCTAAAAAGTGGAAATAACTCTAACATCCATCAGCAACTGAGTGGAAAAATATTGTGGTATATCCAGAAAATGGAACACTTCTCAGCTACAAAAAGGAATTAACTACTTACTTTAATTTAACCTGCAACAGCATGGATAAATCTCAAAGGTATTATGTTTAGTGAAAGATGTTAGAAAAGACTACATACATATTATATGATTCCATTTTTATGAAATTCTAGAAAAGGAAAAACTATAGTGATCGAAAGCAGATCAGAGGTTGCCAGGAGCTGCAAGTGGAGAGAGGGTACTGATGCAAAGTGAGATGAGGGAGCTTTCGGGGTAATAGAAATGTCCCATGTTTTGATTATGGTGATGGTTATACAACTGGACACACTTGTCAAAATGCCGTTGTCTTTACTGGACACTTAAAGTGATGAATTTTATTGTATGCAAATTATCCCTCAAGGAAACTTTAAAAAAAAAAGTGTGAATACAAATCGTCGGAGAATCGTGTTAAAATGTACCTTCCCGGGCCCTATTCCCAGACAATCCGACTTGGAAGGTCTGGAATGAGGCCTGGTTATCTAACTTTTTAATAAGTGCTCATTTTGAATAAAAAGAAATGCCATAAAAAAGAGAAATGGGGTGGGGGAGGCTATACATTTTTATAAAATGTGAATAAGAAAAAATATCAGAAGGAAATCCTTTAAAATGCCTGGATACCTAGATGGGATTATGAATTTTTTTTCTCTTCTCTCTTTTAAGTTTCACAAAATATTACATTTTATTGGGGGGAAAAAGCAGGCCCCTCTCCCACACATTTTTTTTTTTTTTTTGCGGTACGTGGGTCTCTCACTGTTGTGGTCTCTCTCGTTGTGGAGCACAGGCTCCAGACGCGCAGGCTCAGCGGCCAATGGCTCACGGGCCTAGCCGCTCTGCGGCATGTGGGATCTTCCCAGACCGGGGCACGAACCCGTGTCCCCTGCATTGGCAGGCGGACTCTCAACCACTGCGCCACCAGGGAATCCCCTCCCCCACATTTTTGATAGAATAATCTAAACACTTTCTTAAAAAGACCCCGAAACCCACTGCCCCACCTCCATCATCCTCAGGTCCCGCCCCTCTCCTACCCTCCTGAGTCTCCTCGGCCTGGTCCATCTCCACTCTGGTCAGACTCACAAACCACTCGAAAGACCGCTAGTCTCGGTTGATCCAGATGGAGTCCACCTACGGAGAAGGGTCCAGTTCAGAGGGGGCCTACCTCATTCACTCATATCTGTGATCCCCAGGGCCCTGGTGTAACCACCCTGCTGTGAGCAGGGCATACATTATCGCCCCCATTTAAGGGAGGGGGAGACCGAGGCTCGCAGAGGTGAGGAACACTGCCCAGGCCACAGAGCAGCATGGGATCAGAACTCGGGGTCCTGACAACCAGGTCAGGATTTTCTCTAATAATCTATTGTTTACAGCAAGCAGTATTCTGAGATCTTAAGTTTAGAACAGCCAGAAAAACATTACTTCATTGTTTTTTTTTTAGAAACTCTTTGAAGTGGCCTACACAGAATAATAAATTTTCAAACGGCAAACGTTTTCATTTTTAAAACCACCGTCAGGTCACGGCTAGCAAGCATCATGGCTGTAACTGAATCCCGGCTGCCTGACTTTCAGGCTCCGTGTTCTTTAACAAGATGCCCGCCTTTAGGGCCCAGAATGTCTCTCTGGGGGAGCCCTGAACACAGAGACCAATGGATCCAAGCCGGGGAGAGGTCATCTCTCCCTCCCTTGCCTCTGCACAGGGGGCACGTAGCTCTGGTGTCTGGGGAGCTCCCCAGTCCTTCCTGCAGGAGGCGGTGCTCGCTCACCTTGTGGAGCTTCACGTCAGCATCCTGCACACACACCCTCCCTCCCGGAGTGCTGGCAGTGGGGGCAGATGTGCGTTCTGTTCCGGTGCCTGAGGGGAGAAGAGAGGAGGGGCTCTTGAGTTTGGGGTGAGTATGAGATTTCTCAGGACCCCAATGAACAGTGCAGGGCACAGGGAGGGAGGTGGGGTGGCAGGGCCCACCCCATGAGGAGGGGGAGGGGTGAGACCCGAAAAAGAGCAGGAGAGGAAAGAGAGAAAAGGGGAGAGGGAGCCAGGTGAAAGGAGGGAGAAGGCAGGGCGGGGAGGGGAGGCCGTCTCTCAGGACTCTGCCCTGGGATGCAGGCAGGGCCACAGCCTGTCCACCCACCTGTACAAGATGCTCTGCAGGATGGAAGCAAAGGGGGTGATGCCGACGCCTGCCCCGATGAGCATAGCATGCTCGGAGGCGAAGATCCTGCGGTTGGGGGTCCTGTAAGGGCCATCGATGTAGCACTGCATGCAGGAGGGGTTAGAGGAAAGACAGGATGGGTGGGTGAGGCAGAAGCGGACCCCGACGCTTCAGGACCTCCCTTTATATACAGGCAGTCATCTCCTGGGCTGGAACCCAGGAGTAAATGGCTCCCACTCAGAGCACATTCTACACGCTGTGGTCTGAGCCAGAGTCTGGGAGAGCCCTAGAATGTTCACGTGCAGAGCTGGTGAGAGCAGGGCCCAGCCAGCACGCCCCGTGTGCCCTGGGAGGGCAGGGGTTTGGTTCCGTTATCTGGAGACCTGGGAGTCAGACCATGGGGACTGTGGACCCCGGGTACCAAGAGCCACAGCAAGCCCTCCCCGTGGACAGAGGCTTCGATTCCTCTGCTTGGGGCCACCCCCTTGAGCCTCTCACCTTGATGTTACAGAACTGGTGGTTCTCAGAGGACACCTCGGAGACCTGCAGGGAGTAGAGCAGAGAAGGTGGGTCTCTGGGAGTGGGCGGGCCAGGCATTTCTCAGAGGCTTCCTCACCCTTGCCAGTCTGAGCAACCTTACAGAAAGGGAATTGCCTTTTCTGCCCCAACCATTCCAGGGAGCATGGGGCACTTTTGAGGGAGAACATCAGTGGTGTGCTGGTACACGGACTCCTCAGAAAAAGAAAGCACCACCACCAGCAACAACAAACTCCTGATTTTTAGTGTCTAGATTTCCGGTGTAAACACTGCCATCATGGCTCCCACCAATGACTGTGCTTAATAACTGGCTCTCAAAATTCCTGAAAATGTAACAATCGCTCTAGAGGTCCAACACAAGTCAGCTTCAGGGTGTGATGGGAGAAGACTCACCCCAGCCACCTCTTGGGCTCAGCCACTCCCCGATAGCTTTCATGTTTCTAGACACAGCCCCGGCCTTGAACGTTCTTTCCCTGTGCCTAGAGCACGCTCTCCTCTTGCCCAGCTGGCAAATTCCTGTGCATCCTTCAGTGTGCAGCTCCCTTGGAGTGGCTGCTCCTCCTGGAAGCTTTGCCCAGCTGCTCCAGGCAGAAAAGCCATGAATGGGCCTGGTTCAGAGTTCGCCCCTGCCCTTGGGACCCTGCTCTGGGCTTGCTGACAGGGAGCTGCCTGAGGGCAGGGAAAAGGCCTCCTCTGCTCTGCCTAACTCCTCCAGCCCCGAGGACAGGCAGACCAGATTCCCTGAGGTCAAAGTGCTTCCTTCCTGAAGATGAAGGAAACAGAACCTCCCCCCACTCAAAGGGCTGCAGGGGCCTGTGACAGTTTCTCTCTGGTGAGGAGTGACCTTCACAATCATCCAAGCAAATCCCTTATTTCACAGAGAGAAGCCGAACCCGAGAGTGTGGAAATGACTCGCCCAAGTTCCCATAGAGCTCGGGGTGGAGCCTGGGTCTCCAGCTGCCCATCCTGCACTCACCACGTCACACCACGTTGCTTCTTTGGCGGCAACTGAATTCTGTGTCCTCCACAGTGCTGGATGTGAACTACTTGTGAGGATTATTTTAGGAAGTACACTGTGAGAGGGATACTTCTCTTACAATTTTTTAAAATTCTTCTGATTGCAAGGAGAAAGCCTTACACCATGGTTATTATATCTTTAACATCTCTCTAACACTTACTAATCCCTCCTCCTTTTTTTTTCTTTTAACAATCTGAGAAAGAAAGAGATGGAGAGCATGACAGAGAGAGAGAGAGAGGGAACAAGCAGTGGATGCAGCTCAGGCTCAGAGCCGCACTTAGCAGGCAGCAACATCTGGCAAGAATTTAATTACATCGTTTTTGCTTTCAGAGTTATCTTCTGTTTACGGCACGTGATAACTGGTTCTTCATTAAACATGGCAATCTAAAGAGTCCTTTTAAAATACGATTAGGTTGAAAGTAATGTTGGGATGTAAGGAGAAAGATTCAGTAGGAAATATCACCTGTGGGAAGTAAATATGGCAAAAGTTATGAAGGTGCCATGCAGGTGACTGGCTACAGAAACACCACATGGTGTGTGGTCCTTCCTGAATGTGGCCTGCCCTTGAGGCCTTCTCTTCCAAGTTCCAAGGACCCACCCACCGTTCCTGGGAAGAAACATCATTGGCTCTCCAGGCTCCAGCCCCAGCTTCCTCAGCCTTACCTGGCCCAGGTCTTCGGTTGCAGCTTCCCACTGTGCCTGAACCCCGTCCTTTGTCCCCACGTACACCAGGCCTTCATCCCCCTGCTGTGGAGTTCCCTTGGGCCTGTAGGGCATCATCTCCACAGAGACATCCTTTTTGGAGGTCATTGCACCTTGTGCCGAGGCTCCAGAGTGGATGGGCTGGAGCTGTAAACCCTGTTTGGTTTCAAAAAAACCAGTGCTTTATGATTTAAACCTCAAGATCAGTACGTGTTAGTTTTTTTTTAAAGATTCAGAAACTACAGAACTTTAAAGAATAATGTAAAAAAGTACCCTGAATTGGAAGACACAACTTCTCTAAACATTTTCTCTGTCCTTCCAGATCTTTTTCACACACACACACACACACACACACACACAGTTTCACATAAATGGAACGTACTGCTTTGTAATTTGCCTTTTCCACTTACTACATCTTGACCAGCTTACGTGCTAATGCATATACATTCACATAGTCTTTTTTAGGCAACTTACTGTTCTATTAGACGGGTGATCAGTAATTTATTTAACTGCTTCCCTACCGTTGGGCATTTTGGTTAATCTCATTTTCTCATTCTTGTTAGCAACCACTGTATATTATATAAACTAGCTCTTTCCCTTTACCCTGATTTTCTTCATAGCATTTATTACCACGTGACACATTTTGTATCTATTTGTGCATTTACTGTCTATCTCCCCCTCCGGAAGGGAAGCAGTGCCAATGGCTATTTTGCTTATTGACATATCTCCAGCATCTAGAACAGTACCTGGAAAACAGTAGATCCTGTGCTCAATAAATATTTGCTAAATGAATGAATGAACAAGGTGGTTAATGTACTTCTTGTGTACGTGTCCAATCAGCTTTTTAGGCTAAATCCCTAAAAATGGCATTGCTGGGCTATTGGGTATAGATATTAAAACGCTGACACATATAGCCAGACTGCCCACCAGAAAGATTGTGCCAGTTTATTCTTTGGCAGTGGTGCTTAAGACCCCAAGGAAACACTGCTTTTAGTGTATCTAGCCACCAATCTCAGTGTGCCAAGACTCGCCCGGGTTTGAAAATCAGCTTTCTCCTTCGGGAGGTTTCCCCTGATTAACAGGAGAGAACATTCTGCTTGTTTCTACCTACCTCTCCCTTTCCCGGAGCTTTGCTCTTGGCACTGTCCTAGAAGGTCCCTCTGGTCTGACCAGGCAGGATTCCACATGGTTTTCTCCCCTGGATTTTAAATTCTACAGGGGCAAGGCAGGGCTGGGCCAGGCCTGCAGGCTTTCTTCCTTTGACCTTCAACAGGGTTTCCACATATTAACCTGTCTCCCGGCTCAGTGGTACAGCCTACTAATTGTTCAGGCACCCTCAGCCTCCTACATCTATCCCTGCTTCCTCAGGTGCTGCTCTGATCTCTGTATTCCTCGCAAACCTCCCAGAACCTGTGTTCACTCCAGGCACTGGCAGACTGTCAATCTTGTGCAGTTCATCAGGGCTCAAAAGATAACAATGCTGATGGTGATGGTGATAATGAATGATCCCTCTGGACCATGTTGCTCAGTTCACTCAATACTTGACATGCATTCATTCCATTGGTCCTTAAAAGAATCATGTTTAAAAGGAAAGCCAACGGTGGGAAGCACCTCCAGTTTGTAGATGAACAACTTGAGGCTCAGCAAGGCTAAAAGATGTGCCCAAGGCCATACAGTTAGAAAGCATTAGAGCAGAGAGGTGGGGGTGGGTTTTTCTCAACTCAATTTTCCCCTCTCTGCATTGTCCCCTTCCTTCTAATGGAGCACACTGGAGCGGGGAGGATCTGGCGTGGTCAGGCTTCGAGGAGGCTCTTGGACCACACAGTCTGTAGTTGCCTTGCCCTGTGTGCCACCGTCCAGCCGGGGTACACGACAGCTGCTCAGTGGTGCCAACTAAGTGCCAACTAAGAAGGCAACTTGGTCCCCATGGGTTTGTCACCATGGTGGAGGCTTACTTCCCTGCAGTCACTTCCCTGCGGCTTCCTCTGACTCCTTCTCATCTTCAAACTCCTTCAAACTCCTTGAGAGCCTCTCGGAACCATAGCCCACTGGGTCTGATTTCTTGAAGGACTCATACAGCCTGTTTATCCACTGGCCCTGGGACCGGGTGTGTAGCCAGATGGTGTCTGAGCAAGAGACAGGGAGGGAGGAAAGGGTTCAGCACTGTTCTCCAGCAGGGACAGGCCCGTCTCACTTGGAGAGATTGGGACTGGGTGTCGGCCCCTTAAGTCCTCCTTTGAATGTCCTTCCTCAGGCCCAAACTAGCAGCCACAGTCATGGGACTTGGAGAGCCGAGCTCTCTGTGCAGACCTGGCAATCTTGCTCGGTGAGGTCAACCTAAGGGTTCAGTCTCCTTTGCCAAGGCAGGGGTCAGAGTGCCCCTGAGCACACTGGGAGCTCCCTAGGGGTGGGGGCCAGGCCTCCTCCATCAAGCCAGGGTCTCACCAAGGTGGGGACCCTCTCCCTCCCACATTCAACCGGGTGCCTGACAACGGCTCTGCACACAGTAGGTGCTCAGTCAATGGTGGGAACCACAGCTTGCACTGCCCCCAGTGTCTGGGATGCAGGGGTTACTTACTAAGGTTCCCTGTTGAGTGGATGACTGATGGAAAAGCCTGGGGGGGCTATCCCTCTGTTGAGGGGTACCAGAAAGAACCCACATGAGAGTAAGGAGACCCCTAAGAGATCTGGTCTGGGGTTCTCATCCTTTTTCTTTTATTTTAAATCACGGACTCTTTTTGGCAGTCGTATGAAGGAAATGGATAGACTCCTTCTCAGAATAAGGTTTTTAAATACATTGAATAACATATGTAGAAATTACAAATGAAACCAATTATAATGAGACAGTTATCAAAATATATTTTTTAAAATTTTGATTTAAGAATACATGTGCGTTTTTGTTAATACATGAAATACTGAGATGCAGCAGGAGTCACATGGCCACTGGAAACGTGAATTAGCAATAAGCATGAATGATATCCGAAAGTATGGATAGCAACCGTAATGTGATATGAAGAAGAATCCATGGTTTTCATTTCGAAAAAGGCACACGGGTTGGTAATGCTACTATGCATTGTTACCTGCATTCATACCTGAAGAAAATGCTAAATTTTAGTTAGCTGTTAGTGAAACCAAGATGTCACTTTTTTTTGTCCACCTAAGTTCCTGAATGGACTGGTTGGACCCTGTGTTTACAGAGAGGTGAGGCATGCTCTCACAGCTTTGTGAGGAGGGGACTGAAAAGTCACGTGCTTGGATCCCTACTCCCACGCGCCTTCCTGGCGCTTCCTCACCCTGCAGGGTGCAAAGAGGCAGGAGGGCTGGGCTATGCCCTGTCGCACAGATGCACCCCGAACTGCCTCACACAGTGACTCATACGGAGAAGGTCTCTTAAATGTCAGCTGAATTCAATCAGCCGCACCTGCCAGCCTGAGTTCCACTCCTGATTCTGTAAGCCAGCTCTGCAAACAAAGTTGGAGGATTTACCAGCCCCCATATAGACTCACTCAGCTCACTGCAGGGGACTCGGGCCAAGATATGGGCAGATTCCAAGTTGAGACCCTGAAGAAACCCCTTCAAGAATTGGTCAAATAAATAATACATCCATAAAATAAACATGGTCATTATAATCATATTAGTATTGATACACTGGAATAGTATGCAGCCATAAAAAGGAAAAGTTCTTCTTTTAAGAGAACTGACATGCAAAGATTTTCATGACATACTATTCATGGAGAAAAAGTGGGCTTCGAGACAGTGTGAACAGTGATCCCTTGCATGCAGAATTATCTCTGCTTCTGATTATCCATGGAGATGTATCGAGATCTGGAAGGCAATGGTTTTATTTTTTTTTTCTTTTTAAAATTTTATTGAAGTATAGTTGCTTTACAATGCTGTGTTAGCTTCTACCATATAGCAAAGTGAATCACTATACGTATACATATATCCCCTCTTTTTTGGATTTCCTTCCCATTTAGGTCACCACAGAGCATTGAGTTCCCTGTGCTATACAGTAGGTTCTCATTATGGAATCTATTTTATACATAGTATCAAGAGTGTATATATGTCAATCCCAATATCCCAATTCATCCCATCGGCCCTTTCCCGCTTCGGACAATGGATTTCTTTGGGTGGAATTACTTGAGGGATTTTAATTTTCTTCAGGACATGTTTCTATACTGTCTGAATTTTCCAGAAGCATATCTGTTCTTTACAAAACAGCAAAGGAAAGAAAAATAGGAAGAAGGTAACCCACCCTCTCTAACCCACACCCTCACCCCATTGTACCTCCAGGCCACCACTCACATGATTCCAGGGTGGGTGTTGTGCAGCTCCGGGTGGGGAACCCTGGACTTGGGTCTGCGCCCTGAGCTGAGGGAGCTGGGCCAGGGGGTGGGAGGCATCCTGAGTGAAGCTACAGCTTTTGATGGGGGTGGGTCAGAGAACCCTGGCAACCAGAAGCCTTTACCCCTCATGAAGCCGAGCAAGGGTCTCGCTGTAACAGGCCATGCAAGGCCTCCTCTGTCAGAAGCACCGCTTGAGGTGGGAGGGCCAACGCCTGGCCAGGAGGTCAGAGGTCCAGCTTGTGGCCCGACCAACAGCTCAGGACCAGAAGGCAGGGCCACGCATGGTTGTGAGTCAGAGGACAGCTGGGCAAAGGGAGGGTCCGCTGAGCGGTTCTACGGGCGCTGGGTATCCAGAGGGAATAGGGGTGGTCCAGGGATGGGGGAGAAGGGTGCGAGGGTTTCTGCTGCCTTGACGCCCCATAGGGCTCATGCCCACATGGAGTGCGGAAGCCTGGCTTCCTGTCACAGCCCCTTTGGAAACGACATGGTCCCCTCTCCTCTGAGCCGCTGTTCCTCCGCTTAAGACCCCTGCGGGCTCCCAACCGCCTGCGCCATCCTGCGTTCCACTCTGCGTTCGAAGTCTTTCACAGTCCCACCCTGGTTCTCATCGACTTTGCCAGCCACTCTTGTCTGCCTTTGGTCCCTTCTCTGACCCTCTCTCCCGCCCCCACTGCCCCTACTTCCTTCCTCCCTACTCCACCCAACTCTCAGCCCAAACTACAACAGACCCTCCTACGTTTCCATGTTTTCATGCTTCTCCCTCCGCCTCCACCCCCTCGTCCTTCCCTACCTAGGAAACTCCTACGAACCTTTCAAAGTTCAGCTGAAATGCCACCCTGCCCACTTCCCCCACCAGGCCAGGCCCTCGCCTGTGACAGTACAGCCCCAAACACCCCATTCGGTCAGCATCTGCACGGCTGCCTCTGTGTTCCAGAGGGAGCTTTGGGAGGTCGACTTTGTGTGTCTGGTCTTGTGCACCTCTGTGTTCCTGGTTCCCAGCCTTGCTTGGCACACGGCAAGGACTCAGTAATACCTGCTGAGTGACCAGTGGGGCTGGCGCAGGCCTACCTTTCTGCTCGGGAGCGCTGCTGATGGTGAAGGGGTGCCACTTGTGGTGCGCGACGGTGGGGATGTTCAGTTACAAGTAGTCGCCAGGCCTGTAGTGGAAAGGAGGGGGCTTCTTGATGACGAGATGAGTGACCTGGGGAGAGAAGAAAGAGACCAGGGTCATCTGTGCAGGCCCAGATCTACCAGGGGCCCCAAGGCCAGAGGATGGAGGCTGGGCCGTCTTTCTCCACCATAAGCCAGGCCGGCCCCAGACATGAGACTCTTCTGTGCCTGTGAGCACAGAAGACTCTTCTGTGCCTGTGCCAGATGTGCCCCTGCAGCACATCTGCCAACCAGGGGGTGGGCAGTGATCAGAGAAGGGAAGTCAGGCTGTGTCTGAAGTGGGGCTCATGGTGTGATCCCACTTCTTGTGGTGTAAATACTGCTTCTCAGTGGCCCTCCCACTCTGTGAAGCCCCTGACTGCTCCAGCCCCTTTCTTGGAACTTCTGTGGCACCTGGGTGGTATTCCAACCGTGAACGGGCATCTCCCCAGGATACAACTGCCTCCGGGCTAGTAGCTTCGGTTTATTGAGCACTTACTGGGTGCCAGAGCTGTGTGGAGCTCTTCTAGTGCTATCTCTAGTCCTCAGAGCGACTCTCTGAGATGAATGTCATTCTTTCTCCACTTTACGCAGGAGAGGCTGAGGCTCAGAGAGGTTAAATGACTTGCTCAAGGCCACCAGCTAAGAAACCACGGGATTTGAATCCAACCACTCTGTCTGATGCCAGGGTCTAGACAGAAACCTCAGCCTCTTAGTCAACTTCTGTGTCCTCACTCTCAAGCTGTCCAGAGTCAAACCCACCCAGAACTGCCTTCCCTTTCTCCAAAAATGGCCCCAGTTACTCAGGCACCTGCAAGACAGCCTAGACGCCTTCCCCAACTCAACCGCAAATGCAGCCAGTTACCTCTTGAGTCTTTCTGTGACATGCCCCCTCCCCACCCAGTTCAAGGTCAAGGCTCCCGTGAGCTCTCATCTACATGTATGCAACAGCCTCCCCAGTGGTCCCCTCCAAGCCATCTTCTACAGAGCGAGTAAAGAAATGCAGCTGGAGTATAAAGCACCTCAATACCACTGCCCACCCATCCCTCACCCTGCTCAAGGGTTTCCCATGGTCTGCAGGGTGAGGCCACTCACCCTTAGGTCCTGCCCACCCCTCCAGCTTCTCCCTGGCACCTTGGCTCCAGCTGTGCCAAACTACCTGTAGTCCCCCAAGCACAGTATGCCCTTTCATAACTCTGTGCCTTTGCCCATGCTGTTCCTTATCCAAGCAAACCCTTCCCTGTCTTGTCTATCCAACAAACTCCTATTCATCTTTCAAAACCCTGAAAAGGCAGCTCCCCTCTCATTCTGAAGCTTCTCTGATCTCTCAAAGACAGAGTTTTAACACCTCCTGGGATTCTTCTCTTACCAACACAGCCCTGCACTGTAACGGAAGGGCTGCTCTCCTACTAGCCTGGATGCCCATGGAGAGCGGGACAGTGGCTGAGCCTTCTCTGCATCTCTGTCACCTAGTGCAGGGCCTGCCACCTTGCAGACACTAATATATACTTACTGAAGGTATTCTGTGCACACTGGCCTTTAGTGGTACCCTGCTTACCTGTTATTCCCCTTCCAGAAGTGTCACTCCCGGAGGGCTAGATCGAGTCTTGCACTTTGCTTATCTTCTCCACTGTGATGGGGTGCCCCATTTCCTTGGGAGCGGGGGTCTAACAGAGTACTCAGCTTCTGCACCCCACCACCTGTGACTCCCCTTGGCTCGTCAGGCCCCCTTTGCACCTTGGAAGGGAGGAGATGACTTCCACGATGCACAGGGCCTCCATGAGGGATGCGGCCAGGCCAACGGCCTTCTCCAGGAAGAACAAGATGCCAGGGACCAGCAGCTACTTCCAGAAGTTGGGCCCGTGCAGACATGGGAGGTAGGACAGGTGGGTCCAATAGAACACCTGTTGGGGTGGGGAGTAAGTTGCCAGAGTCAGGCCCTGGGGGTGGAACAGAGCCAAGGTTCACGGCCATCCTTAAAGCCAGGACTGTGCCCAGAGCCTTGGCCACACACACCCTCTCCTGGGAACAGGCTTGGGTAGGAGGTTGGGGGTGGGAAGCTTCGTTGCCTCTCTGTTCTGGGGGCTTGGTCCAGAAAGTCTGTAAGGGAAGATTCTTGGTGCTAGTGGCAAACATCTGGAACATCTGCCTGGGGGTGCTCTGGGCAGAGTGAACTGCCCCCTCTGATGGGCTCATGAGCATCAGTGTCTCACTGATGCTTTCTCAGCAGGAAGGAAGGAAAGACAGCAATGGTGTTCTGGGAGTGGAGGAGAAAGAGCAAAGCCCTGAGGGTTTTTTTTGGTTGTTTTTTTTTTTGCAGTACGCGAGCCTCTCACAGTTGTGGCCTCTCCCGTTGCGGAGCACAGGCTCCGGACTCACAGGCTCAGCGGCCATGGCTCACAGGCCCAGCTGCTCTGCGGCATGTGGGATCTTCCCAGACCGGGGCACGAACCCGCGTCCCCTGCATCGGCAGGTGGACTCTCAACCACTGCGCCACCAGGGAAGCCAGCCCTGAGTTTTAATACCTGCTCTGCTACTAGCTGTGGGACCTTGGCCTGGTAAGTTACTTTTCTGAGAGTCAGATTCCTCATGGGTCAAATGAGGATGCTGATTCTGACTTCAAAGGATCATTGCTGGCCCCAAGTAGGTGCTGTGTATATGTATACATATATATGTCTACTTCTGATGTGACCAGATCAGTCCAAGGGACAGTTCCTGTCTCCCAACCAAATCCTCTGCGACCTCTTGTATCTCGAGGAGGCTAGAGAGAGGAAAGCAAAACTAGACCTAATACTTTTGGACTGACCATGTGCCAGGTGTGTGTAGTTATTGGCTTCACATGTATTATCTCATTTAATTCCTAAAATATTAATAACTCCTAAGGTAGAGAATTATAGCTCCGTTTTACAGATGACGACAATGAGTGACCCGTAAGTAGTGGGGTGGGGATTAGAATCCCGAAAGCCTGTGTTCCTTCCCCTCCCTGTGCTCAGTTTAATCCAATTAGAGCAAGGGGATAAGCCAGCAAAAAAGCCAGAAGAATCTTCTAGAGCAGAACATTTAACTCAGCAGACATAAAACTACTGCCCAATGGCAGAACCCCAAATCACACATCCATAGTACACAGACCGCCTGGAGCTTCCTGGGCTCTGGAGTAATTTAGAGGGAACGCAGCATGAAATGAAGTTGGGAGCCCAGGATGGGACAGGCAAAGGGGCAAGGGCTGGGGCGCCTCAAAGTGGCCGCTCCTGCGGACACAGGAGCTGGAGCAGGCGGACATGAGAAGCAGCAGTAGGGCTTCCCTGGTGGCGCAGTGGTTGGGAGTCCGCCTGCTGATGCAGGGGACACGGGTTCGTGCCCCGGTCCGGGAAGATCCCACATGCCGTGGAGTGGCTGGGCCCGTGAGCCATGGCCGCTGAGCCTGCGCATCTGGATGACTGTGCTCTGCAACTGGAGAGACCACAACAGTGAAAGGCCTGCATACCGCAAAAAAAATAAATAAATAAAAAATAAAGAATGTTACAAGAGACAAGGAAGGACACTACATAATGATCAAGGGATCAATCCGAGAAGAAGATATAACAATTATAAATATATATGCCCCCAACATAGGAGCACCTCAATATATAAGGCAACTGCTAACAGCTCTAAAAGAGGAAATTGACAGTAACACAGTAATAGTGGGGGACTTTAACACCTCACTTACACCAATGTATAGATCATCCAGACAGAAAATTAATAAGGAAACACAAGCTTTAAATGACACAATAGACCAGATAGATTTAATTGATATTTATAGGACATTCCATCCAAAAACAGCAGATTACACTTTCTTCTCAAGTGTGCACGGAACATTCTACAGGATAGATCACATCTTGGGTCACAAATCAAGCCTCAGTAAATTTAAGAAAATTGAAATCATACCAAGCATCTTTTCTGACCACAACGCTATGAAATTAGAAATCAATTACAGGGGAAAAAAGGAAAAAACAAACACATGGAGGCTAAACAATACGTTATTAAATAACCAAGAGATCACTAAAGAAATCAAAGAGGAAATAAAAAATACCTAGAGATAAATGACAATGAAAAACACGATGATCCAAAACCTATGGGATGCATCAAAAGCAGTTCTAAGAGGGAAGTTTATAGCTATACAAGCCTACCTCAAGAAAGAAGAAAAATCTCAAATAAACAATCTAACGTTACACCTAAAGGAGAAGAACAAACAAACCCCAAAGTTAGCAGAAGGAAAGAAATCTAAAGATCAGAGCAGAAATAAATGAAATAGAAACAAAGAAAACAATAGCAAAGATCAATAAAACTAAAAGATGCTTCTTTGAGAAGATAAACAAAATTGATAAACCATTAGCCAGACTCATCAAGAAAAAGAGGGAGAGGACTCAAATCAATAAAATTCGAAATGAAAAAGAAGTTACAACAGACACCGCAGAAATACAAAGCATCCTAAGAGACTACTACAAGCAACTCTATGCCAATAAAATGGACGACCTGGAAGAAATGGACAAATTCTAAGAAAGGTATACCTTCCAAGACTGAACCAGGAAGAAATAGAAAATATGAACAGACCAATCACAAGTAATGAAATTGAAACTGTGATTAAAAATCTTCCAACAAACAAAAGTCCAGGACTAGATGGCTTCACAGGTGAATTCTATCAAACATTTAGAGAAGAGCTAACATCCATCCTTCTCAAACTCTTCCAAAAATTGCAGAGGAAGGAACACTCCCAAACTCATACTATGAGGCCACCATCACCCTGATACAAAAACCAGATAAAGATACCACAAAAAAAGGAAATTACAGACCAATATCACTGGCGAATATAGATGCAAAAATCCTCAACAAAATACTAGCAAACAGAATCCAACAACATATTAAAAGGATCATACACCATGATCAAGTGGGATTTATCCCAGAGATGCAAGGATTCATCAATATACACAAATCAATCAATGTGATACACCATATTAACAAATTGAAGAATAAAAACCATATGATCATCTCAATAGATGCAGAAAAAGCTTTTGACAAAATTCAACACCCATTTATGATAAAAGCTCTCCAGAAAGTGGGCATAGAGGGAACCTACTTCAACATAATAAAGGCCATATGACAAACCCACAGCAAACATCATTCTCCATGGTGAAAAACTGACAGCATTTTCTCTAAGATCAGGAACAAGACAAGGATGTCCACTCTCGTCACTATTATTCAACATAGTTTTGGAAGTCCTAGCCATTGCAATCAGAGAAGGAAAAGAAATACAAATTGGAAAAGAAGAAGTAAAACTCTTACTGTTCACAGATGACATGATACTATACATAGAAAATCCTAAAGATGCCACCAGAAAACTACTAGAGCTAATCAATGAATTTGGTAAAGTTGCAGGATACAAAATTAATGCACAGAAATCTCTTGCATTCCTACACACTAATGATGAAAAATCTGAAAGAGAAATTAAGGAAACACTCCCATTTATCATTGCAACAAAAAGAAAAAAAATACCTAGGAATAAACCTACCTAGGGAGACAAAAGACCTGTATGCATTAAACTATAAGACACTGATGACAGAAATTAAAGATGATACCAACAGATGGAGACATATACCATGTTCTTGGATGGGAAGAATCAATATTGTGAAAGTGACTATACTACCCAAAGCAATCTACAGATTCAATGCAATCCCTATCAAATTACCAATGGCATTTTTTACAGAACTAGAACAAAAAATCTTAAAATTTGTATGGAGACATAAAAGACCCCGAATAGCCAAAGCAGTCTTGAGGGAAAAAAACTGAGCTGGAGGAATCAGATTCCCTGACTTCAGACTATACTACAAAGCTACAGTCATCAAGACAATATGGTACTGGCACAAAAACAGAAATATAGATCAATTGAACAGGATAGAAGGCCCAGAGATAAACCCACGCACTTATGGTCAACTAATCTATGACAAAGGAGGCAAGGATATACAATGGAGAAAAGACAGTCTCTTCAATAAGTGGTGCTGGAAAAACTGGACAGCTACATGTAAAAGAATGAAATTAGAACACTTGCTAACACCATACACAAAAATTAACTCAAAGTGGATTAGAGACCTAAATGTAAGACTGGACACTATAAAACTCTTAGAGGAAAACATAGGATGAACACTCTTTGACATAACTCACAGCAAGATCTTTTTTGATCCACCTCCTAGAGTAATGGAAATAAAAATAAACAAATGGGACCTAATGAAACTTCAAAGCTTTTGCACAGCAAAGGAAACCCTAAACGAGAGGAAAAGACAACCCTCAGAATGGGAGAATATATTTGCAAATGAATAATCGGACAAAGGATTAATCTCCAAAATATATAAACAGCTCATGCAGCTCAATATTTAAAAAACAAACCACCCAATCCAAAAATGGGCAGAAGACCTAAATAGACATTTCTCCATAGAAGACATACAGATGGCCAAGAAGCACATGAAAAGCTGCGCAACATCACTAATTATTAGAGAAGTGCAAATCAAAACTACAATGAGATATCACCTCACACAGGTCAGAGTGGCCATCATCAAAAAATCTACAAACAATACTTGCTGGAGAGGGTGTGGAGAAGAGGGAACCCTCCTGCACTGTTGGTGGGAATGTAAATTGATACAGCCACTATGGAGAACAATATGGAGATTCCTTAAAAATCTAAAAATAGAACTACCATATGACCCAGCAATCCCACTATCGGGCATATACCCTGAGAAAACCATAATTCAAAAAGATACACATACCACAATATTCATTGCAGCACTATTTACAATCGCCAGGACATGGAAGAAACCGAAATGTCCCCAATAATATTGTTGCATGATTACAAAATTATAAACATTAACTGTAGAGAATTAGAAAAATACCTAAAAGCACACACACACTTTAAAAAAGATTTTTTTAAAAATCACTATAATCTACCTACCCAAATAAAATCACTGCTAATGTTGAGCATCTATTTCTAGTCACATGCAGAAGGTAGCCCAGCCTGGGATTCAGAGGGGGGTTGTGTGTGATGGACTCATTCACATGAACTGGTTTTGAGGTAGGAGATAAATGGGCCCCTGGGCTGGACAGCTGGTACGTGTCAAGTGGAGGAAAACTGAAGCTTTGCTCTCACCCAGATGCTCCAAGGACAAAGCTAGTGGCAGAAGATGAGCTCTGCTGAAGTAAAGAGATAAGATGACCGCTCCGGAGGTCAAGGAAAACTTCCCTGTCTGCACATGGGCGGGAAGGCTCCTTGGGGGTCAAAAAGGGAGAGGGCGCCATCCCATAATAGGTGTGGGACATACCGCCACAGGCCTCTGCAGTGGGAACCATCTTAGCAAAAAGTTGGCAGGCATGTTGGGGAGGGTCCTAGGGCAGGTCAGGTGTGGAAAAAGAAACCAGATATTTGGCCAAAGGTAAACAAAGACCAGGAAGAAGTGTCATATGTAAGTGATTTAAATCACCTCTTTCCTGCACTCCTCCTCATTAGGAAGGATGGCTATACCCTTTCTCCCTGGGTGTGTATTTCTGCCTTGCTTCTGACTTAAATAAATACACTCTTTCTCTGTGTGCTCTCCCATACATTGGGCTGTGTCTCTAGTAATAAACTTTGTACCTATTTTGCAGTTTTTGCCTCCTTGAAACATTCTTGCTTTCAATGGGGGAAAGAGCTAGAGGCACTTTGCTTCTAGCCTCTAGCCCCTGGTGGACTAACGGCTTGGATTCCTGGTTTTCATCCAGGCTACCCAGGTTCAATTCCTATACAGGGGAACTAAGATCTGTCTCAGGACTGCTCACTGCTGTCTCCTAGAAATCAGTGTCACCTGTGTGAAAGGGGCCACTGAGGAGAACACTGTAAGTGGAGGGCTTGGGGGTGAAACCTGGGAAGAAGGAGAGGGAAGCACGGGTCTGTTCTTCAGCTCTGCCCTTGAACTCTGGTCTGAGTTCTCTGAAGAGACAGGGAAGGCAGGGAGTTCTTTGCAGGGACTGCAGGAGACTCCGGTACTGTTTGGACTCGGGGGTCTTGAATGTTTGGAAGTCCAGGAGATCACCCCTCTACTGGGAGGTGCTAGGACAGTACAGCCAGTAGGAGGGCTGCCAGGTAGTAGACAGCTCCAGGAGCACGAGATTGGTGGGATTTGAGCAGGCTGGCTCGTGAGCACATGTGAGACACCCAAGTACCTGGGGAAAATTGGGAGTGGAGTAAGCAAAGCAGTTAGCAAAAGGTGGGCATAAATGCTAATGACACTTCTTCATAGCCACA